CACTGAATACCCCTCGCAGCTTCCGCCACACCCCTGCTGGCTTTTACCCTCTTTCCAACCTTAAGGCCAAACTTGAATTCTGACCCGTCGGCGGCGAACAGCAGTTTTTGCCAAGGAATTGCTCTGTACTTCACACAACCGGGCGATAAGGCAAGCCTTCCTCTCCCCGCTCTCCCTGGCCAGGGGATAAAACGAGCTCCTAATGCAAACTCTCAGCAGCCAGTGGGGCTGTGACGGAGCAGGCCTGTCCCCTCTGTGGGGACGGCGGTTTGTCTTGCATTGGCGCCGCCGAGGGCAGTGCCAGGCAGGGCAGCTTCCCTGGCGCAGGAATGAGCCCTCCTCCCCCTCCCTGGGGAAAAATCTTGACCTGCAGCCAGGGCCAGAGGCTAAGAGGGAGGAGAACTGGACTTTGGGGTTGCGCAGAAAGGTCCAGAATCCAAAGCACCCTGGCGGGGGGGGGGGCACTCTTTCCCGCCCGGCAGGCAGCTTGAGAAAGCAGCGCGCTGCCGGCCCAGCTCCGCTCTGCCCCAGCTCCTCCGGTCAGGCCTCTCGGGTCGCAGGGGACTTCTCACCTCCCAGGTGCTACCTGGGAAAGGCCAAGGAGGAATGGTGCTGGTTAGTAATGAAACTTTCGACGGGTGTTTTTCCTGCCAAGTTCCTGCTGCACCGTCGGGAAGCAGGGTCCCCTTCTGCGGACGTCAGGGAACTCACGGGAAAGACGTTCGGTCTGTCTGGAATCTGGGTTTCGGTTTGATTTAGTGATCCAGGTCCAAGATTGTTTGGGGGGAAGAGAAGGATTTTCTGTAAAAAAAACTAAATGTTTAATTTACAGTTAGAAAGTAATTACTTTCCTTTTGCGATAACGAAAAGGCAGAGTTGCCTGTGAAATCCATGTACCTGTGTTTCCCATGAATATGAAGTGACTTTGTAGATCGTAAGAGTAATTTTAAAAGGGCATGGCCTTTGACCCTGCCCATCTTCTCTGTAAATCCAGATGCCAGAAATAATTTTACAAAATAAATGTACTCACTCCCAAAGTTGCTCATCAAATGGTGCCCACACACGTCCAGGAGCCTGCTGGTGGCTTGAGACTGATGCAGCCACAACAGGCAGATACGCAAGCTGATCTTTTTAAAAGATCCTTTAGCAACTTAGAATATGCATGTGCCACGTCATTAATCCTCAGCAGTTCTTGATCAGGGGGGTGCACTGGATGCCTGGAAACTGAAAATATGGATGTCCAGGTGCCAGCCGATTCCCCCCAGGGCACTGGAATTTTGGGAAAGCCTTCCAAAGTTGGTCTCCTAGTTACACCCTTAATAGAAACCCCTGAGTTAAAGGAAGAAATCAGGATGCCAGGGGTATTTATGTTTCAGTGTAAATCAGGGATACATCTTATTGCCTGTGGATGGGACTGAGCAGGGAAGAGGGCCCAGGATCTGGGTGATTGGGAAATACGCTTTCTCTTGCAAGACACCGACCAAAATTAGAACCATATTTGAGGATGCTGAGACTGTGAGCAGTATATAAATAATATGTGTAATGCTATTTAATAGGGTTATATTTTAAAAATGAGTTGAGTGATGTTTTCTAGCTGTTAGTTTACTGAGATGTCAATGTAGAAATTAGCCTTCCGCAGCTGTAGAAGCAACTGAAGTCCCAGCTTGTTTCATGTGGCTCAGCCCTCCTCCCAGAGCTATAAAGTGTCCTCAGTATCACTGATCCACCCTTCCCATCATCACCTAAGCCGGAGACAATCCAACAGCCTGGGAATGTATGTTGAAAGAGGCGAGCAGCCTGGAAGGAAGAGTCCTGCTCTGGAGAGATGAGAGACTCCAGGCCTGGGCTTGATCTGCTGCTAACTCACTAAGGGATCTTGAGGGACTCCCTTCACCTTTTCAGATTACTGTAAAATGAGAGGTCAGGGGTCCAAACTTAAATACCTTCCGAGGCCAGGTAATATCAATGAGTGGAAAGGGCCAGGCATAGGACTCAGGGGAACAGTGAGGACTGGACAGCTGAGAACTCATGCCTTTGTCATGGGGGTCGTCACTACTCAGTTCTGTGGATTGCGCTGTCAGGGTCACTGAGAACAGCTGTGCAGGTGGCACACTGCGCAAGGACACTACTTCAGACGAGGTGTTGCTTACCTCAGAGATGGAGATCTTTATCAATGACAGTGTCCTGGAAGATGTCTGTAGAGGGTTTTGAAGAAAGGATACCTTCTAATTTGCACAAAGATGTTGTGTGAGTTGTCAGAAGTCCCGGTTACCATGTGAGAATGCAGCTCCAATGTTGCCAGTTCTCCCTTCTTTTTTTTCTGGAGAAGCTGGACACAGGGCTTTTAATGTGACAGTCCCCTAATTTAAGATTAGTTAGAAACTAATTCCAAAACATTTTTTACCTCATGTGGGTTAAAGAAAACACTTCTGGGGACCAGATTCAGACAATGGGTTGGAGATTTCTGACTCAGATGAGCCCTAAGTTACTGACATCTCAGAAACCCTCCTATTCCATGCACTTCATGTGTAACCTTGAAGCCATCACAGAGAAAAATGAATTACCCTGATCCATAATATTAGGATATAACAGGGATTATGTGGATCTAAAGAGTAAAAATGCATCCTCTGAATGATGGTATGTACAATTCTCTCTGCCTATCATCTGGGTAACTTTAATTCATCTTTTTTTTTTTTTTTTTTTTTAA